CGGTCAGCCTGAGAGCCATTCAGCACATCGAACGTCGAGGGCGTCTCCCACAACAGCAGAAATCGAACAAGTCGCTTGCTAGTTGCAGGCTACAACCGCACACTCGATATCCACTCGATGGATGGTCATTGCCACTGTCTGCCACTCTGCCACTCCTGTCCTCCGTTCATCCCACCCTTGTTGCCTCCAGCAAACTCGCTTCGCTTACACTCCACGCTCCCGCCAGGGAACTCTTGTCGATGATAACATCAACGACGGGGAGGTGTCGACCAAACTCCAGTTCACAGCCCTGAACCCTCAGCCAAAGAGAACCTCCACCCCCCTCTCCAGAAGAGGTTCGGGATAGCCAAATCAAATCAACAGCAGGCCCACGACTGCATATGCAGCCCACGGATCCATGGCGTATCTGCCTGGGTTTCTTCGAGCCTGCCACCAGCTTCCAAGTGTCAGGCCGGAGCATGGGGGGTGTTCTCAGAGGGGGATGGCATTGTGATACAACACCCTGGAATGGCCTGTGGCACAGCTGCCTGTTGGTGGCCAGGAGAAAACGCGGGGAGCCGTTGCTCGTGAAGAGATTCGCAGCTGATGCCGATGCTGACACTCGTGCTAGGGCATTGTGGATGCTGTCCACTAGATGATGGTGTTGATGCTTGAATGCTCCTGTGCGCGTGCCTCAGGCTGCTCGCTGCCGCCCATTCTCGACCCCCCTCTCTATCAAACACTGCTTTTACCCCTCCATCCGAGCATCCATTGAACTCTTCTGCCTGGAACTCTCTCATAACTCGACCTAATAGGGCACAGAAATCGAGAACACCTGTCCTCAAGTCGGGGACGTGTTTCATGACGAGAAGTACCCATTGTTATCAGCCTGAATCACTCGCGGCGAGCAGTGAATCGCTGCTGTCGGATTCCTCCTTCATCTTCAATCCGATACCAGAAGAGGAGAAACGGCTTTACCCCTCCAGAGAGGGACGGAGTGGAGCTACAGAATGGTGGCGACGAGGTGAGCAGGGGACAGGATAGGTGTGTCTGCCCAACGCACTGTGACGCTGGCAGCCAGACTTTGCCCTGACTAAACCCAACATTGTCTACGTTCGAATGCACCCCTCCTTCAGTTCAGCCTTGAAAAGGGAGTAGGATTGCACCATCCTCATCAACAAGTCTACCTACTAGTACATCGCGGTGCGAATCCCCCGGACGCCAGAAATGCGGCCTCGCCAGGCTAAGTGGCTGCAGCCGCTCTAAGGTCCTTATCAGCCTCGACCCCTTGTCTGAACTCCCCCGGCCAACGGGCCACCCCTGCTTGCAGTTGTCTTGTTGCATGAACTCAACAGCCGAACTTGATGCTGGTGGAAGAAGACGGTCGAAATCCTTCGATCCAGCTTCAGCAATGCCAGCCCGGATTCTCCCGCCGAGATGCCCGAGGACCACCCCTGTCCGAACACCCGTTCACTCACGGAACTTTTGATCGTCTGTCCTTGCGTGTCACTCCATCTTACATCCTCTCCACCGGGCTCAAACCCAGGAGAGTCATGCCATTCCATAGCACCTGTCGGGCAGCCTCGTACAGTGCCAACCGAGCCTTCTGCAGCTCAGGTTCGCTGCCAACCACTTGCAGGTGGTCATAGCTTGAGCTGAGCGCATGCGCCATCTTGAACAGATAAGTGAGGACAGTTGCTGGTTCTCGAGTCTTGAGCGTATTGAGCACCACATCTGGATATTGTGCCAGCGAACGAGCCAGGTTGACGGCGTGGGGTTCTTTCAGCAAGGACAGGTCTGCAGAGCCCAAAGTACTGAGGTCCGCATTGGCTTTTCGCTCAATCGAGCAAAGTCGCGCGTGCGCATACTGCAAGTACGGACCAGTATCGCCCTCGAACGCCGTCATCTGGTTGATGTTGAATTCATAACCATTCCGAACCTTGCCTGACAAGTCCTGCACCATGATAGCAGTAATGGCCAGCACATCGGCAACTGCGTCTGGGTTATCCAGCTGGGCATATTTGTCATCGTTCTTCTTCATGACCTCCAGCATAGTGTCCTTGACCGTTTGAATGATATCATCGAGGAACTTGACCGTCCCTTTTCGGGTACTCATGCCCTTGACCATGCCGAAGGAGATATGCTCGCATTTCTCTGCGACTTCCTTATGTCCGCTGATATCGGTGGTCTTGAACAGTTGTGCAAGATGCTCGTTCTGCTGGTCCGCGACCACGTAAATCATCTTGTCAAAGTGGTACTTGTCATATCGCTCCAATATCGCGGCCAGGTCTCGGGTAAGGTACAGGGCTGTGCCGTCCTTTCGCACGATTATCGCCTTGTTGAGCTTCTTGGCGCCATGTTTGGCGAAATCAATCAGGATTGCGCCGTCAGAATACTCTGCGATGCCCTGTGCGAGCAGACTATCCAGGACCCGCTTGATTGTCTCGGCCTTGACCTGCGACTCACCAGAATACACATCAAATTCAATGTTCAACCGGGCGTACGTGCTCTGGTACTTCTTGATGCTCATGTCCCGGAACTTCTGCCATAGTGCCAAAGCCTCGGGGTCCCCTTCTTCCATGCTCTTGAAGTATTTTCGGGCCTTTTCGTCTTCGCTTTCTTCCACGAGAGGTGCAAGTTTTGCTTCCAGGGCCGACACGTCTTCTCCCTTGTCTTTTTTCTCCTTGATCTCCTTCTTCAACTCATTAATGGGCTCGTCCTGGGCTAGTTTTATCTTGTTTATTTCGACGTAGACATGAAACAAGTGCGCAATCGAGTTCTTGTCTAATTCCTCCTGGCTACCGAATCGCTTGAAGCCGTTGGCCAGGAGGCCGTATTGTTTGCCCCAATCTCCTAGGTAATTCATTTTCAAGACATCCCAACCCATTCGCTGGTAAAGCTTTGCCAGAAACCCACCTATGATGGTACTCCGAAGGTGACCGGCGTGGAATTCCTTGGCGATGTTCGGGGACGAGAACTCCACGATGAGCTTCTTTTGGCCCTTTGAAGGGTCTGACGGGTCTTTCAGACCGTTGCTGACCTTACAGCCATATGCACTCTTATGAGTCAGGATTTCGTGGATTGTCATGTTGATCAGGTGTTGGGGTTTGGCGAAAAACTGGACGAACGGACCCGCCTGGGATACGGTGACGAAGGTGTCTTCTGTCGAGGGAAAGGCCTCGACAATCTCCTTTGCCTGTTCTTGCGGCGGTTTACCCTTGACTTTCAATGCAGGAACGGCCAGAGTGAAATCTCCCTTGTCTAGAGTCGTGGTCCATTGGATCAAGGGAACAACTTCCGCTGCCGGTCGATTGACTATGGGAGCCAGCTTCTCGGCGATGTGTTGTCGGTAAAAGTCCATAGGGTTCTTGCTCTTCCCCATTTCCTCCAGCGTCAGCGAGGAGACTTTCCCACTGAGTTGTCCCGCCATTGTGGGTTCTGCCGCTGGAGTGAGCCTGTGAAACAGTTGTTGTTGTCGTTGTTGAGTCGCTAGAGCGTAGACGGTAGCAGAGATTGGTCTTTTTGTGCTCGATCGGCCAACTTGACGAGTTTGTGGAAAGCTGAAAAGTGTTCGGATATGCTGTGTCTCTCTGATTTCGATAGATGTGACTTTCGAGTAGCTGTAAAATTTTGGGTTGCGACAGAGGCGAGAACACCACATCCTCCCTTGAGGGGGAGTCAATTATGTTTCTCCACTGCCACCGAACCGCCTCAAAATTTGAGTCACTCATTTGATATCTTGGCATCTATTTCGGCTCGGATTAAATTTCTTGCGTCATTCATCCTTCATCTCTCCACGTTCCCAACTGCGTCATAAAACTTACACATGAGGTTGTGATCACCTACACAAACACCACGAAATGCATACTGTGCGATGATAAATGAGGTTGCTTAACCATGTCTAAGACACCAGATTCCCTGCCATATACAGCGACACAGGCAGAAGATAGTCGAGAAAGAGAACGATCGAAACGATTCCGTTTCAAATCCGGAAGGGGGGATGAATATTACGGCGACGGTAACTCACGCGGTCACAAGCGGCGGAAGGATCACGATTTTTCACACAGGCACAGGAAGCGTCACAGATCGTCAGAGCCCGCCAAACACGGATCGGTTCCACAAGAACGCCCGTCGAATTATTTGTCGCCCGACCAAGCATTTCGAGAATCGCTGTTCGACGCACTCGGAGACGACGAAGGCGCGGCGTTCTGGGAGGGCGTCTATGGTCAGCCCATCCACAACTATGCGGATACCTATCAGGATGAAGAGACTGGGGAGTTGGAACGCATGACTGACGAGGAATACGCGCAATTCGTCCGGCGAAAAATGTGGGAAAGGAGTTGGGAGGGGGTAGAAGCGGCAAAGGAGGAAAAGAGGCGAGAAAAAGAACGGGAGAAACAAAGAATACATGACGAGGAGAATAGAACAGAGAGCGAGAGGCAGTCCCGGCATGATGATCACGTCTTCAATACGCAGATCGAGGCCAGTCTCCGCCGAGGCGAGAGACGGAGGGAGCGCAAACGGTGGCACAGTCTATGGGAGGACTACTTGCGCCGGTGGGCAGACCTTCAGGATCTTGCTCAAGATCGGCCGAGGGGCGAGGGCAAAAACATTGGCGAGCAGCTCTTCCTCCGCAACAAAATTGCGTGGCCTGTCGAGTCAGGAAGGCGTAAAGACGTGGGTCGGGAAGAAATTGAACGGTTCATCAGAAAGGGCACTGCTGCCCATGAGGTCTCGGAGGGGACTGATCCATTCTCGAGCGCCATCAAGACGGAGCGGGTTCGCTGGCACCCTGACAAGATTCAGCAACGTTATGGATTCATGGAAATCGATGACGAGATCGTGAAAGCAGTCACTGCAGTCTTTCAGGTGCTCGACGCCATATGGAACGAAATTCGAGATCAGACAGGGTGAAGAAAAGTTTTCAAGAAGTTGGAGTGAAACACTGGTTCAAGCTTCTGTCCTCCCATCTATCTATCATCTATCATACCGGACTTGCGCCTCTATTTGCGTTGCAGAGTCTAATTGTTTATAGGTTGATCACCGCCTGTCCACTCTCGAATGATATCGTCGGGGACATCTCTCAACAAGACATGGACATGTTCCATTCCCGGCACGGATTGCAGCTCGGTCCAATTCTTGAACCATATGACCTTTTCCTGCTCACCGGGCAGTTCTTTGACTCGGTCCACAAAGGTAGACTGAATGAAATCCTCGACCTGCTGTCTGGATTTCGGGGTCATGTCGCCTCTAGTTGGCTCTGATTCTAACCGGGTCTTGAGCCACACAATAATGTGCCTAATACCAGGCGCCAATCCATACGGCCAGTCGTTAAGCAGAATCTTATAATCTGCCTGGTCTGCAAATGGGATAGGGTTGTTGACAGCAAACCTTGGACCCGTTTCCGGCGTCGACGAAGGTAACGGAGTCCATTTCAGTCGTTCCCTCATGACAAAGTTAGGGACCGTGCCATACGTAGCCTTTGTCTGGCTTGACCACTTGATGTAGCGTTTCAAGTCGGATGGCCACCTTTTCAGGACGCTGAGGTTGTGCTCAGCTGTCGAAATCAGTCAGAAACATTCCAGGGATGTCGATCAAATAGACCCATGTGCGGTGGAGCACACACCAATGATCTGTTTCAACTCTTCCCATGTATGTGGATGGAATTGGTCATCCGTCATGGCCAGGACAGACCGATCCACAGCCGTCAGAGGAAACGGGGACGGGGTATTGTCGGGCTCTGAAGCCATGGCACTTGCTTGCGTTTGGGCTTGTTCGTCTGCAAGGGGCAAAGGTTTGCTGGGCGGGCGATGGGGGGTTCCGTTGAGGGTAGTCTCTCACCGGGATCAGTTGACCAAAGATGGAGTGTATCGGGTGTTTGTGCGCCCAGATGGAGCTACGAAGAGACCCGAAGACGACGTTCGCTATTCTTCCGCTGCTCGGCGAGGTGGACTGCCGCAATTCAGGAAAGTGTAAAGTGCGAAGCCGAACGGGGTAAATAGCCCAGTCTGACAGAGGTGTCTTTTTATCGTGGCCACATCCGATGTATGTTAAATGGAGAGGAGCATTGGAAGAAGGGCGTGGGTGCCGAGAAGGCATGGAACACATGTGCGGGAACCGTGGCGTGCGTGGCCTTCCCGGTTTCTTGTCAGACATGCGGAATTAATATTATCCATCAATTCTGTCTACTATCGGAAACACCCCGCACTTTGTCACCATATGTAGGCAAAAGGCACCAGGGCGCGGCAGCAAGTTAGCGAAGCCCCGGGACAACTTCGCAGGCGTGCGCAGGCCACATTGTCTGCTACGCCAAACTGCCCCACGTCCTTCGCTATTCACCGCAGCGGCCTCCCGAAAAACAATTCCCAAGTCCACAAGTCCAGAACTTCCCCAATTCCGATAGTTATATTTTTGACCCCGACCACAAAATATTCTCCTGACACGGTTCAAAAGTTCCCTTTGTTCGCGGTGTTTTTTCACCTGTTTCTGCTCAAGGGCCATAGCAAGAATTGGGATTGTCGCGTATCTTGAAGCCATGGGGTAGGTGCTTCGCAGTATCTTCTGTCGAATTCTTCCGACGCTCACCTCACTTCCCAGAAACGCAGCCTTTTCGCAGGCCAACATCAATGGGGTGTATATTCCCTCGGTGCTGCTGATCGTCGGGGTCGCCATCGTCAAGAGAGACTATGTCCCTTATGCAGTCGCCATCGCTGCCATCATTGGAGGCTACAAGATCTTCACGGGCCTGACTCGTAAGTCATGTTGCGCTTACCACCCCTCCCAGACAAGATTCCCGACTGACATTTCTGAACCACAGCGTCATCAAGAAAGGTCCTGAAGCCCGACGTCTTCCAAGAATTCCCGTTGACCAAAATCACCAAAACCTCGCATAATGTGGCCATCTACCGATTTGACCTTCCCCAACCCACGGACATCCTCGGTCTCCCCATTGGCCAGCACATGTCGTTGGCAGCAACACCCAAGGGGGCGGATAAAGAGGTGGTGCGGTCATATACCCCCATTTCTTCCGACGAAGACAAAGGGTTCTTTGAGCTCATGATCAAGGCGTACCCTCAGGGCAACATCAGTGCTCATATGACGACCTTGAAGGTTGGGGATACCATGAAGGTCCGCGGTCCCAAAGGAGCCATGGTCTACACCCCGAACATGTGCAGACGTATTGGCATGATTGCTGGTGGAACTGGAATCACACCCATGCTGCAAATCATCCGCGCCATCAACCGCGGTCGGCCTCGCAACGGAGGGAATGACACCACCAAGGTTGATCTGATTTTTGCCAATGTCAACCCCGAAGATATCCTGTTGAAAGAACAGCTTGATGCCTTGGACAAGGAAGACCCTGATTTCACCGTCTACTATGTCTTGAACAATCCCCCTGAGAAATGGAATGGCGGTGTAGGCTTTGTGACGGCGGACATGATCAAGGAAAAACTCCCGGCTCCAGGACCTGACATGAAGATCTTGATTTGTGGTCCTCCGCCCATGGTGAGCGCACTGAAGAAAGCCACGGAAAGCCTCGGGTATCAAAAGGCTCGACCCGTCAGTAAACTGGAAGACCAGGTGTTTTGCTTCTAGAGAAGATCAGCGTGGTGGAGTCTTTAGACGGGTTTTGGGTCGATTTATGGATCTTGCAAGACTGCGCGTCCACGGTGTCCTCGCATCTTGGAGTTTGTCTGCCAACAAAACATGGAGGCATAGGTCGAAGCTGGCTATGTGTTGAGTTGTCACTGTCCAGCGCTGTCGGCATAGGAGCTTGTGGTTAGATTAACTGGTCAAAACTCTCGAGTGCAAAACTACATGAAGATCAGTCTAGAGTACAGCGGCAGTGACTCCGATGTTCAATGTAACTTGTAGAGTGTTGTGGCTTCGGTGGCTGTGCAGATCGTCGTCGACGCCCATTGATCCTCCAACATTCCATCATCTCAGCCTATGACGTCAATCTTGTATTTCCCTGTCACCACCATTTGATGCCTTGTTGTCACTAACTACAAAACAAGGAAATCTTGTGCCTTTGTACCGACTACACCTGTGCCAACCGACGGTGGTCGCCGGTCCTGGCGCTTGAGCTCTCAGATTCGATCGACACCTCAGGAGCTCTACTCGAACAAGCCTAGCTATGTAGCTAAGGGAGCCACGTAACAACGAACGTGGCGCAAGCTTTGGGCGATACAGGGAGGCAGCCGGACCCTGAATCTAATCAGTCAGTCAGTCAATCAATCAATCAATCAGCCCGTCAATCGAGCAAGCAAGGTGTGCTTCCACTGTCCAAATCGATCGCGGGACATGCTTTTAGCTAGGTACCCAACACCACATGCTGCCCCCGAATCCGTCGATTGCTGGCGGGCACAGGATCCGCTAAATTCGTTCAGAGGATAGTGTTCGCGATCGGCCTAGGTATGCAAGGTATGTGATGATTAGGTGGGATGGATGTGCCTCCTTAATCTGTGATGGGATCGATCATATATTGTCCATGTCTTGATTCTCTTTCCCCTTCCGCCTCTCGAATCTGCTGAATACATATATACCCTGAATACGTCCGCCACTTAGCCAGTCATCTATTGAGCAGTTGTCGTCAACCCTGTGCCTTTATCCCAATTTGAGCGTTGTTGTTTTTGACATTGCTGTTGAGTTATATGCACAGACGATACCCCTTTGTTGGAGCAAGATTTCGGCATAACCACACCTGACTAAGGCACAACGCACACACACCATCTTCCCACGAAGGTGGAATCATTGCCGTTGGAAATCACGACGAAAGCAACAAGCCAGGCTCTACGGAGGAATATTAATAGACAGGCATATCAGCAGAGATATCTTGCTCGGTGGTTCGCAGGAGTTTGTGCTGCGGAAAAGAACGTCACTCCCCTTTTCCATCTCAGCCTCGTCCACCACACACTCACATACGGCATACATATAGAGAGGTTCTCTATTTTGAAAAGGACGAGATGAAACCGTCAAATCCATATCAAACAGCGATGACGATGTTAACTCTTCTCCTATCTCTTGTCCCTCTCTTACATGGAGCAACGACCAACTCGACCTCCCCCAAACGCGGCCTCTGCTACATCGCGACCGACAATTCCGCCTCGGACTCGAACATCTTCACCAGACCCAACTCACCGATGACGTGGTACTACAACTACAGCCCTTGGCCTGGACCCTCGGGGTCGCTGACTCAATGGGACACGGAATTCGTGCCCATGGTGCACTCAGCCAAGGACGCCGCGGCGTCGGTCGACACCATCAAATCCATTCTGAACGGCAGCGCGGGGATCCCCATTGCGGGAGGCGGAAGGAACAACGGCGGCGGCGGTGGTGGTATGAATAGGATCTCACACGTCCTGACCTTCAACGAACCGGACGGCGACACCTCATCAGGGGGGAGTGATTCGTCCCCCGAGCACGCCGCCAAAGTATACGTCGACACGGTCCTGCCTCTGCGTGCCGCGCCGTACAACCTCCAGATCTCGCTGCCAGCGACGACAGGGTCGGGGAACGGCCTCGACTGGCTCCGGTCATTCAACACGTCGTGCTTCAAGCTCCGGCCCGCAGGTGGTTGCCCATTCGACTTCGTCGCCGCGCACTGGTACGGCGACTTTGCGGGCATGGCTTCGTGGCTGGGCACCCTGCACGACCTGTACCCGGCCAAACCCATCTGGATGACTGAGTTCGCCATCCCCTCGGCGGACGAGACCGCCACGACGTCATTCTTCAACGAGTCCCTCCCGTACCTGGACGGGCTGGCCTACGTGGCGAGATACGCCTGGTTCGGCGCGTTCCGCAGCAGCGGCGACGACGCCAACGAGTGGACCGGTGAGGAGGTGAGCCTCTTCGACGACGACGGCAGGTTGACCCTCCTCGGCGCCGAGTACCTGGGTGGCGAGAAGGACGGCTTCCGCGAGGGCGAGAGTGCAAGTTCTAGTAGCGGTAGCAGTAACAGTGCCGCTGCTGTTACACCCCTTGTGTGGTTTTCCCCCGCCAACTCGCCGTGGATTATTCTATGTCTGTTGTTGACCTGGTCAGTGGCCACAACTTTCAGTGGGCTGCTCTGAGGGTGTATAAAGAGGATGTATATGATGTTGACATGACGAAGATGTATGTGATATGAAGTATAACGATATATCTGATAAATTTAGCAAGCGCTATGGCTGTGCATCGCAGAATCTTTCCCACCCCAACTCGCCCATTATCCTGTACGTTTTGTCTCCTTCCTCGATTTCTTTGTAGGACTTGTACCTACATACCTACCTACCTGCCTCGATAAATACCTTCCGGTCTATCGATCTATTCACGACAAACGACGGAGAAGGGAAAAGGGCAAGGGTGTATTCTTTCCTAGAAACGCTCCTTCCCACTACGGTTTGACGTTTGTGGAGTTACAAGTTAATTTGCTGTGGTTTGATTGACGATGCTCATCCTGACTCAAATGGGACTGGGTCTAGTTAACGCAAAGAGCTTGGACTCACACCCACGATGGACAAAAACATGTTGATCAGTATATGCAAGTTGTAGTATTAATATAGTATGTCTATCTAATATCATCATGGGCAGTTCATAGCCAATATCGATTCGTGTCGTGTCCAAAAATTGACCAACGCTATGCTTTTTAGAGACCAGAAAAGGTTCCATACCACCAACAATATACCAACAAGACGCCATACTCAAAAGACCAACTATAGCACCCTCGCCTTTTATTTGTGACGATATTGCTCAAAGGCCAGATCAGGCA